TTTAGATAAGCTAGAGGTGGTAAACCAGCTGGAACCACTCTTGTTCAAGAAATTGGCTAACAGAATCTGTGCATGCTCCAAGAAAAGTACAAAGTGAAGAAGATTGTGAGCCTTCCCCCCAAAAAAAACGAAGATGACCACCAGGAGGCAATGCACAGGTGCAAAGAGAACATAAACTGCTGACACCAGCCTTTTGAACTAACCCAGCCTTACTCCCACATGTGTATGTTTGTGCTACATAATCCAATAAATATGTATATTCCACTCTATAAGTTTCTGGTAAAATGTGCTGTTGGTGTGCAAGATTTGTGGAGAAATCCCGTTGCACCCCGGCGCCGGAGTAAACATACCTGCTTTATAATTCTCTGACTTGTAGAGTTTGTTTCCATGCATTAATGTCTTCTAGAGAGTGTTCCTGAGAAACAGTCCTTTGATGGCCACACCTCTGAATACAACAGAAATATTTAGATAGAATGAGGGGGAACAATGAGAAATAATGGCAATGTACATATAAGTGGTAAAAAGGTATTTTAACCAGGTGTTAGAAAACATGAAAATTGTGAGAAGTGATATTACTTACCATTAAAGTGAGAAGAGCTAAAGAAAAAGCATGATTCACAGTTCACCCACGTGCCAGTTTTTGTTCTATTTTGGAAGCCTAACAAGATTCCTTCTCTAGTCAAAAGGCTTCTTTTGCCTCATTCTGTTACCTGAAATAAAGACTCTTGAAACCAGCAATTAGTTCAGATAGGAGATATTGCTTTATTTTGTGCAGGGTGCTAGGTGGAAAGCATCCACTAACCATACACAGTAAACCATTGATCAGTGTCCCTTATAGTAGTCAATAAGGTAGAAGAATGGGCCACTACCAGAGGAATGTCTTGAACAATTTGATTAATAGCCCTTAAGTCTTGACTTAGCCAATACTTATTAGAGCATGGTTTCTTCACCAGGAGAATCAAAATATTATATTCAGACTGACTCTCCCATAATAGTCCATATTTCATAAAATTTTCTATCACAGGTTCAAGTCCTTTCCTTGCTTCCAATTTTACAGAATATTGTTTTCATTTTACTGGTTGGACTCCCGACTTTAACTCAGTTTTCACTGGTTTAGCTAATTTTGACTGACCTGGTACTTCAGATGCCTATACAAGGGGATTCACTGTATTCAGAACCGCTTCAGGTATCTTTGGAATTTCTTCTGCTGCTCTCTGCTGTAACAGAAAATCTTGTATCTCCAGTGCCTTTTCTTCAGGAATGTGTACATGGATGTGGTTACCTTCAAACATGATTTGAGCATTCAGTTTACTTAACAACTCTTTTCCCAATAAAGGCATAGGGCAATGAGGTATGTACAAAAATTTGTGCATAAAATTCTGAGATCCATATCTACATTTAAAATAAGGAAGAGGCTGGAAAAATGGCCTGACTTCTCTACGCCCTGTGGCACCAACAATATATTTTGTTTAATCAACCTACCCTTACATGTGTTTAAAACTGAACATGCTGCACCAGTGTCAACTAAAATTTCTGCTTTCTCATTCACCAACTTCAGGGTAATCAGGGGTTCCATTGGGCAGAGTTACAAGGCAGCCCCTGGACCCTGTCAGTTGAAATCCTCATCTGAAGTCAACAATTCTGTTAGTTTAGGATTTTCATTAATCCTAGGGAGTCTTGTCTGCAATCTGTTTTGTGGACACTCCCTTTTCCAATGTCCCTTTTGTTTGAAAATTGCACATTGATCTTTTTCAAGAGAAGCAAAAGAACACTTATTTCTTCTCATTTGACTTTGATTTCCTTCCAGGCTCCCAAACTGCTACCAAGAAAGGAACTTTTGCCCCTATCGGCTCTGCAGCAGGCCTTACTGCCTGTCTTAAAGGCATCTGCAGCATGGCTCCTGCTCATCTACTACAACTTGCTACAGGACTACAATTTTCACTCCTAGATGCTCTCTCTGCTTCCCTGCTAGGCTCTCCCTCTTCCCTCACTTCCACACCTTCGTCCTGAACATCAGGTGGCCGCCATGGGGCTGGCGGTCCCTGTAGGGCTACTAGTAACTGAACATCCTCCTCTTTCTCAGTATTCTTATACTTATTATACTGTTACAAGCCAAGCAGCATCGCTTTAATATTTCTGATTTTCCATTTTCACGATCCAAATTCAATACATTCATATAATTAACCGTTAATCCACAATCCTTTCTACCAGTATAGTAATTTCTGAGAGTAAAGAATAAATCAACATTCATTCAATTTCCCTTCCTGTCTACAAAACAACATTAATTGCAATATTGTATTATATTTCAATGTTCCATCCTTTGGCCATTTTTCCTGATTGTCTAATATACACATCAGCTATCAATGATTACCAATATTCAACTAACATTTTCCAAGTTAATGGACCATCTCCAAACTTTTGCTAGGGTTTCAATATACAGCCTAAAGGAGAGGCTCTTACAGTGTCTCCTTCAGAAGATTACATTGAATTTCTCATTATCCTCATGTCTACCTGCTCTGGTTGTCACCATACAAACTCAGGAGAACATTCAGCAGCTGCAACCAACCTTTATCCACCAACATGTACTTTTTCTAGTATGATTTACTTGGTAATTCCTTTTATTGAGCAGTATCTCAACTTGCTTCCAGTCAAATACTCATTTTTTCCTGCCAGAAAATCACCAGGGAAGTCCCTGGAGAAACCTTTTGGTGTGCACTGGAGGTCCGCTCGTGATTCCTGGTGGTGGGGAGTGTCGGACAGACTTCAAGTCTCACTGTCAGCAGTGTTCCAGACAGCAGAGTCCCATCTGGGTTGCCAGAAAACTGTTACCTGAAATAAAGACTCTTGAAACCACAAATTAATTTAGAGAGGAGATACTGCTTTATTCTGGGCAGGGTACAGATGGAAAACATCCTCAAATCAAGCATACCAGACCAAAGAACATCAAAATATTTATACACTCCAAATTACATGTTTACATATTTTCTATAACGATTATTGGTTAGGTGCTAATCACTTCCATCCCTTAATGGTTAGTGAGTTTGTTAACTTTCTGCACAAGCTCAAAGGATAAGGGTCTGTATTTGGGCAGGGGTCTTAAGCTTATTTACATAAAACAATTTTAACAATCTTCCATGTCCCAGGATGTTTCTCTTCCTCATAGATGGTAGTTCCTGATTAGAAGTTCCTTGTTGTTGATGGTTTGAAGAACAGGCTGGCCTATCTGGTGTGTCAAATTTGTCCTTGTATTTGAAGAGAAACACTTCTATGGGTAACAATATGTACTAAGTTGCCTTGGGTGTGATGAGAAGCATTTGTGGGGCCTGCAATGTGTGATGAGAAACAGTTTTGTGGCCTATGAATTCCAGTAAACAATACATTCCCATGGGTAGCAAGCACATACAGTTCAAGCAACTCTGATTATGGTCTCTCGTTCAGGGTATCAATTTTGCCTGTCAGAGGATCATTTTAAATTTAAGTTATGGTGATGTTATTTCTAATTGTGGATATTCTACTTTATTGATAGACTTAAACTTGCTACAGTGTTAAAATTCAGGAAAAACTCCCCAAAACTTAAAAGTATCACTCAATACATTTAGGCCACATTCAAACACAACTGCTGGGCAGTACACTTACCTTTAGAGAAACTGCCAGTTTCCAAAGGAAACACTCATTCTGAGAAAAACTGTCGTCTTTGTTGCCATTAAAAAGTGTAACATACAGCCATGTGTCCTGGTTTCGACTAGATAGAGTAAATTTTCATTGGAGTATTTCACACCATGGGATGTGTGCCCAGGGACTTAGGTCTGAGTCGGCTCTCTCGAAAGGGCTTTTGCTGGGGCCTTTGGGCTGGCGCCCTTTGCTCGTCGAGCTGTGTTGTTGCTGAGGGAGGGGGGTGGTGCAGTCGCCGTGCTAGGTAAGCCACTGCTGCATTTTACCCGTTTCTTTTTGGACTCACTATTGTTACTGTCGTCCTCTTGTTATATTTAGTAAATTCTTTCTTGTTATTCAACCTACGAAGTCTCTTCTTTTTGTCCCTTCCCTATTTCAACAGAGGCAGGCGGGGAGAACGGCGGGACCACCACACCATGGAGTGACTTCATTTGTTCAGAAGCCGAGACATTTGTTGCTACCTGCATGGCTTAGGAACATGGTCCAGCCGGCAGTTCCAAGACTGAACTTGTATCAGCTAACTACACAGCAAACATAATCCTGATGTTTATGAAACCGTTTTTTTGTAGTTACTGAGGCCCATGCCTCACAAGAATAATACCTGCCTTTCCATCTCTGGGAAGGCTACAAAGCTTGCCAAAACCAGCTGCAAAAGTATGTCAATCTGGTGTGAATTCAGGGTACGGATTCTCATCTTTTGCAATCACTCAAGGCTATAATTTCAGATGACTGGGTACTCTGCACGTTGCACCAGTGACAAAAGCTAGTCTAGAGAATGGGATAAACCACATGAAGGCAGCATAACAAACAGGCCTGCTGGGCTGTGGATTTCTCAAGCGTCTCCCACCAGCAAGCAAATACACCTCAAGTCCCCTCTCGTGCCTACAAGTACACACAAGCAGCTCTCTTCTCCCTTTCAGTTACCCACTCGGACACCAGCCCGACCAGAGCACGGCTGTCCCATACAAGACCCCCCATGCTGTCCTGCACTGGGCAGCACCCCCTCCTCCAGGTGGTCAAGAGGTAAAAGAGGCAGGAACGTTTGACCACGTCCGGCTCCGCAAAGTCAGGAGCCAGGGCTCCACGACAAGCAGGGCAGAGCCTACCACCAACCCTGCCGGGGCCTGGCCTTGGCCACTGGGCAAAAGCGGTTGCGCCACCAGAAGCGACGCGCGGGGCGGGTTCAAAGCGGGGGCGGTGCCACCCGGCCGCGCAGGTACCCCCCGCGCTGCAGCACCCTGGCCCCGCCCCAAGGCTCCGCCTCCCCCGCCC